GCCCTACGAAGCGTGATAATGGCCCCGGTGCGTTGCGTTAATATGTGTATCTTTTCATATGGGACCCGCTGGGCCCCTTTCCCAGCAAGTGCTGGTCCCCACAAATAGATTGGAGTATGTTGTCAAAAAAAAAAAAAAAAAAAAAATTGCTGAGCGCCCCGCCCTAAAGACCTTTCTGTCAGTCTGTTTAAAAACTGTCGTTTCTGGTTTAAAACAGGTGTGTGTCTGACCTTCTCAAAGCTTTCTCGTTTCTGTTCTCGTTCTATTTTCATAAGAGACACTCTGATTGGCTTGATTAGTGACCCCCCATCCAGGAAGAATATCCATTCTTGGGGTCTGGATACCTTCGTTCTCGCCTACAATGCCATACGTTCGCTGTCCTGCAAACGATCTCGTACAATGCTTAAACTGATCCTGTCTCAGGCTTGTCGTAAGAAATTTGATTTGTGTCTATCAGCCCGGTTGGTCATACGAGTGAAGTATGACGAGTGTCTGATTACAGATAAGGTACGCTATGTATGTAGGAGTAGTATTAGACGCATGGATCTTTGTTCTACTTACCTTGAGTTGGTTTGCCGTCGTTTTAGATTGGTTTGGACTAAGAATAGTAGTATTGGGGACATACTATACAAGTTTCCTGCCTTTTCTGTTGTTTCCGAGCCAGTCTGCACCTGTGCTATGATTCACCCTAGGTTTCCTCGCGTTAATGGTCATGTATCATTTCGATTCAGCCAGTATGGGTTGATCCCTAGTTGTCTTTGCAACTCCAAAAATATTGTATCGCCGCGATATGACGTTAATTCCCGTAGTCTTTGTAGTCAGATACCTTCTTCACTGAGTGATTTCTTTAAACAGGATCCTGTTATTGAGCTGTCACATTTGTCTGGATGTATAGCTAGAGGATGCAATACTAGCCCTAAACTATCTGTCAACGAGATTCTTGAATTGAAGGAGAAGCTTGCTGGGTTGGTTTTGTGCCCCCTAGATCATAATATGGGTGACACGTATGCATGTTGTCCGATCATCTATCATGGAGGAGGGATGCGTAAACTCTTTGTTGAGAATTCTGGGTTGGAAATACAGAGATTTACCGAAGCGGAGATTTTAACCGTTTGTAGGAGTGCATATAAGTCTGAGAAACTACATCAGTTGGCTCCTTGGTCCAGCGGAGGGAGGTTGGGGCGATCGTATGTTCTGCCCAAACATAAAGATGTGGCAAAATGGCAACCAATATGCCCTTCGTGGTGAACCGTCAAAGAAGGCCGCCTGTATTACTTCTTCCTGTGTCAACGAATTGGTTCGTAGGCTTCCTAAGCTCAGCCACTTTAATCTTAGTAGTACCTATTCGCTAGTCAGTTTTCTTAATACCGTTAATAAAGGTGTTAATAAGACCGAAAGAATCCTTGGACGTAGCTACAACGTTAAGGAAATGTTCTGTCGTCTCCCGCACTTGCCATTGTTTCTGCTGTAGAATGGGCTGTCAGCGTGTTTGAGGAGAGAGTTTTTTTCAAATTTTTGTACTGTGCTCGGACGAAAGAAGTTCGTTTATGTAGGAAAGCGGTAAGTGAGGTTGGTCACAAATCAGTTAAGTTTTCGCTATTGATCAGATTCATTTCTTATGATCTCCAACGTACATACACAACGGCGATGGGAACTGTCGTGAAGCAGAATCTGGGAATCCCAATGGGCAAATCGTCTAGCCCAGCATTGGCTTGTTTAATGTGCATTCACAATGAGTTTGTTTTTCTGAATAGTTTGGCTAATGATGCGCGTCTGGTTAGAGGTTGTAGATTGGTCGACGATGTCTCCATATTTGTGCGTTATGAACGTGGGAACAAGGAAGCAGTTACCAAGGCCGAGCACATCTGCAGGAAATTTGAACTCATCTGCTATGATGAACATTTGGTTCTTGAGAGAACGAGCTGCTGTAACGAGTGGCCATACTTAGGATGCAGAATTCATATTGGTGTCGAACCTGCGAAAGTTTATTGCCAAGCTCAGCATACGAATCAGGACTGTCTGTTTAATGGTGATGGACTGGTGTTTCAGAACCTGCAGGATTTCAATTCGTTCTGTAGTAAGCAGAAATTTGCGGTTATCTTTTCATTTCTTCATAGAGCTTATGCGATGGGCACTTTGCCAGGGACGGAGGCTTTATTCCTGTATAGCCTGAAAATTGAGCTCAGGCGACGAGGCTTTCCGAGTTCTTATATCGATAAGGCCCTAATCAGGTTCAATAACAAGATCACAGGGGTCTGGTCCAAATGGGTAGGATGTGTTTTACTGGTTGGACTGAATGGTAGGTTCATGGGACCTTGGGACTGAGTTACGGGCCAGTGGGGCCACTTCCGGTCCCCGTTTCTGCTCTAGGTGCTAGGTTTTAGATATAAGTCTGTGTAGTCTTTAGTCTAAGTCACACCTAGCGCAACCCCTGATGAAGGCCGGTACTCTGAGGGACCGGTCGAAACAGCTGTTGGGTAATCTGTCAGTGAGCTTTACGTTCCTGGCTTCATGCCTTCTTTCGTTCTATTGTATTCATAATTGTAATATCTTACGAGCTGATGCGCTCGGGGGACAATCTCATTCTACTTGTTCGTCGACAGCTTCTTCCCTCTTTCTGCATTTCTTGCTTCACACGCTGTGAGTGTACCATACTTGGCTGATGTATGTTGCATATTCACAAATTTGACATTTGGCAGGTTTTTTTTTTTTTTTTTTTTTTTTTTTTTTTTTTTTTTTTTTTTACCAGGGCCAAAAATACCTCGGCTCTTCACGAGCGCTTCAATGTTTCAACATTTTACAATAATATCCTCGAATATTGGTGAAACAAAGTCACATTATCACCCTATCCTCATCTGAATAGGCCAACCCGAAAACGCCGTCACGACATGCCAGCCGTGCGTGCCACCATACATTTTGCCATCATCGACATGCCGGAGCACGTCGACAATCAACAGAGAAAATTCCAAAATGGGTGGGATCCTCCCTCACTGCTTGCGACCATCTTCGACGTCGGACGATAACTACTCATTAAAAACAGAGACGTGCTCTTGCCCTTCTTGTCGCCTCCGATTTCGAAGTGCTTACATCGCTTGATAGGATGCTGCGTTACGTGCTCGCATGTCTGGCATTGAAGTCGAAGGACGATTTTCTTGGTGGTCTTCGCCTTCTTGTGGAAGATTGGTTTCGTCTGGCCACCATATCCCCCCACTGCTTCCTGTCATAACGCCTCTTGCCTTGCGCATACAAGCTATCCTTCCCCCTTTTTATATCGAGTGACCTTGTGAAGGGTATGTTTCTTGGAGTCCTTGCCACAGTCTGCAGAAGGCCTTCTTCGTCTTCCGAACGTTCACCATGGCTGCTGATGCCTCTGGCGAGCAAAACCAGCTCCTCAGAGTCAGCAGAACGGATCACTTCGCGTGAAAGACCAGACAACGTCAGCAAAGGAGGATTTGGCAGAAACTTGAATCGTGCTGGAACCAGAT